TAAAGATTTGATTTAGTTTAACTTCAGTCAAATCTTTAGCTTTTAGTAGTTTTTCATTAAACTTTTCATTCATTTTATTGTATCTTCATTTGAATTTTTATTTTCTTTTCATTTATTTAATTTTTCATTTATCATCAACTTTTCCTTATAGTTTTTACTTTCTAACATTATTTGTTTTAGTTTTTTAGTTATTTTCTTTCTTTTGAATTAGTTGAACTTCATACAGATCTTTAGATTTTAGTAGTTTTTCAGGAAACTTTTCGTTCATTTAATTTATTATGTCTACATTTGGATCTTAATTTTCTTTTTATTTGCTTTCTTTAAATATATAACAAATCTTTTTCCATTACATTAATACTTAATTCTTTTACTGAACAGTAATTTAATTCAGATAATTTTTTCTTTTAGTTAGCAGGACCACTCAGTGGACAACAGGACTTCAGGGCCACCAAAAGACCAGACCAGCAAATTCCATTCCAATAATTTCGACCCAGTCGAGGCAAAAAGCACATCAGGGAAATGTAATTAACATTTATTTATTATATTTATTAGAAATTGTCTTTCTTTTTCTATACTTTCAAAGCATATTTTTATTCTTTACTTTATTTACTTTTTTCACTTACCTTTAACTTTTTCTTAAAATGTTTGTTTTATTTATTTCGTCTTTTAGTTTGTATTAATTTATAACTTTTATTTCTTTTGATTTGCTTTAACGTCATTTATATCTTTACCTTTTAATTGTTATTCTTAAAGCTTTTCTTTCATTCAATTTATCGTACTTTTTTTCATTTACATTTAAACTTTGTAATACATAATAAATATTTTTAACTTTTGCTTTTCTTTCTTATACTAAACAGTAATTTTCATTCAGATTTGTTTTCTTTTTTTTAGTTAGCAGAACCAGTGGTGGACATCGAAGCCAACAACAGGTGGAATCAACTGGGACATCATAGTAAGCGGAGAACATCAGGACCACCAGGACATCAAGGAATCACACCAGCGGACCCAAGGATCCGAAGACATCGGGACCTCAAACCTCCGGGGTTGGAAGGCAACGGATTCCAGGATCTCCAGGTACGAGGACTTCGAAGTTCGAATATCGCGAGGTGCGATGACCTCGGAATTGGTAAGTCTGCGGGGTTCAAAAAACTTCGAGATAGAAGTCGGGGTCCCATGGGTTCGAAACTCTTTGGCGTTTTCTCACCTCAAGATTTTCGAATTCTGGGAACTCGACACTTCTATCTCGAATCTTTGAACTTCACAGTCTTTCCAATTCCGAAATCATTGTTCCTCGGGATCTTTAAACTTCTAAATCTTTGAAATTCGACGTTTTCGCACCAGGAATCCTGAAATTCGAAAACTTCCAAACCCGAAGCGTTGGGCCTGTATGGCAGGCCGGTCACAGGGGAGGGCACCCGGGGATCGCCCCGGGTGCAGGACGCGGGGAGGGGCGGTACGGGCCCTAAAGGGGTCTGGGGACGGGAGATGGCACCCGGTGATCACCCCGGGTGCAGGACGTGGGTTGGCACCCGGGGATCGCCCCGGGTGCAGGACGTGGGTTGGCACCCGGGGATCGCCCCGGGTGCAGGTGGGTTGGCACCCGGGGATCGCCCCGGGTGCAGGACGCGGGGAGGGGCGGTACGGC